GGTGTTTGGGTGAAGCAGTGCGGGTCGGGGCGGTGTTTGGGTGAAGCAGTGCGGGTCGGGGCGGCGTTTGCTCAGCTCAGCGCGGAGCTCCGCTGGCCGCAGAGCGCAGCTGCCGGGTAGCGGATCGGATTGTGACCGCGAGGGGACTTTATGCGTGCTCACGAGTGTTGTTCTTGGTTGTTCTTTTGTTGTTGTTGTTTTGGATCAATGGATGAAAGCTTTTAACGGATAAAACCGCCTCGCTTCTCCTTTCACAGGCAGCGGGCGCGGCCGGGGTCACCGCTTCGTGCCGCGGTCCGGGGTCTCGAACCCGCGACCCCGAGCCCCGCAGCGCCCCCCGCTGCCGCTGCACGTCGACCCCGCGCGGTGCATGCCGGGAGCCGCAGTCCGGCGCCGTGCGCTCGGCCGCTCCGGAAGCCGCGGTCGCGGTGCATGCCGGGAGCCGTAGTCCGGCGGCGCTGGCGGCGCCATGGCGGCGGCCGGGACCCCCGCGGGCGGCGCGGGGCGCTCGAAGGTGGCTCCGAGCGTGGACTTCGACCACAGCTGCTCGGACAGCGTCGAGTACCTCACCCTCAACTTCGGGCCCTTCGAGACGGTGCACCGCTGGCGCCGCCTCCCGCCCTGCGATGAGTTCGTGGGCGCCCGGTGAGCGGCGGGGCGGCGGGGCGGGGGGGGGGCGGCGGCCGTGAGCGCCGCTGAGCGCCGCTTTGTGCCGCCCGCAGGCGCAGCAAACACACCGTGGTTGCGTACCGGGACGCCATCTACGTGTTCGGCGGGGACAACGGGTGAGGGCCCGGCGGGACGCGGAGCGACAGCGGGGGGGGGGGAGGCCCGGGGGGAACGGGGAGCCGGGCGGCGGGGGGCGCTGAGGGGAGCGGGCCGGGGCTGGGGGGAACCGGGAACGGGCGGCGGCTCCGGGCCCCGCAGATCTGCGGCCGCTGCCGTTCCTGAACGTTTCCTCCCCGCAGGAAGACGATGCTGAACGACCTGCTGCGCTTCGACGTGAAGGATTGCTCGTGGTGCAGGTGGGCGGCAGCGCTGCTTTCCTCCGCGGCCCGGCCGTAACACGGGGGGAGGAGGGCGCGCATCGCCCCGCCCGAGGGCTGCCCTGGGTTTCTGCAACCCACTGGGGCTGCTGCGGGGCACGGCTCCAGCTGGGCAGCACAGCAGTGCGTGGAGCCGGGCAGCTGCCGGGCTGCTGCAGCCCTGGGGGCCAGCAGAGGTGGGCTCTGCTCTCCCATTTCGGGCCCTGCAGGCCATGCTGTCTCTCTGCACCTCGTTTGGAATCTCCACCAAACGGATTTCAGCACTGCTGTGCTTGTACTCCATCAGTGCTTCGCAAAATCCTGAGTGACAGCAGATCACTTATAACAGCTATGTTGGGTGTGCATCACGGCTTGGAGTGCCTGAAGCACAGCAGGGACGTTTGACTGCTGCTGTTCTAAATGTCCTGCAGGGCTTTTACCACGGGGACCCCGCCTGCACCGCGGTATCACCACTCGGCTGTGGTCTATGGGAGCAGCATGTTTGTGTTCGGTAAGGCAATGGCAGGTCACAGCTCTCTGTGTCTGGAACGGTAGCTGTGCTGGTGCTTCTTTATTTAAAAAGAATGTGATGTTTCTAGGAAGTGTCATTCAGTAATGAATCCAGTCCTTTTCCATGGCTGGCTGTGGTTCTGGCTTTAGCTTTGAAGCACTTCTGCTGTTTTGTTTGGAGAGGTGGAGTCTTGAAGCTCATTGCCGTAGTGCTGGTGCAGGGAAGAGTGGAGAAGTCCCCCATCTGTAGTCATCAGGAGCCATGCAGCCTCTCTGTGGGGCCTGCACTTTTCCTGTAATGCACTGAGTGTAAGAACACGTGCTGCGTGCTGTCTAACAAAGCTGTCGTTGCCCAGGTGGTTATACTGGAGACATTTATTCCAATTCCAATCTGAAGAATAAAAACGATCTCTTTGAATATAAGTTTGCAACCGGACAGTGGACAGAGTGGAAGACTGAAGGAAGGTAAGGAGATGTGGACGGCTCAGAGATGGAGGCAGGTCTGCCATCCTGACGCGCCCCCTTCGGAGGGTCGCTCTGTGCTCAGGGCTGTGTGAAGGCGCGCTTGGTGCCGGCTGTGCCCTTCACCTCGTGCAGATCCTCCTTAGGGCAATTCCATGGGTGATGAAGGAATGTTCTCCTCCATTGCAGGCTGCCGGTGGCAAGGTCGGCTCACGGTGCGACGGTGTACAGTGAGAAGCTGTGGATCTTTGCGGGATACGACGGCAACGCGCGGTGCGTGGCGGGCTGCTGGCTCCCCGTGCTTTCCCAGTGCTGCCATCTCACCTCTGTACGGCGTGCACCGAGTCACTGCAGCACCCCCAGCAGCTCTGTAGAGCATCACTGCTGCTGAGCGTTGCATCTTTGCAGTTTGCCTGTTCACATCCGAAGATGTGTGTGTTTAAACCAAGAAAGTTCTGCTACAGAACGGCTGCGAGGAGCAGTCAGACGGTCTGCATGGTTGCAAAGATGCTGAATGATCTTTGAAATCCGGCAGATGAACATTTCTTCAGAGGTCTGCAGGCCTTCTGATGGTGCTGAAAACTCACAGAACAAAGCCTGGATTTTCTTGTTAAGCTCCAGGCAGAGCTGCTGTGTGCAGCTTTTGTGTGCAGGTTGCTGGAAGGGTGCTGGGTGGGGTTGAGGTGATGGTGTAACACCCAACTGTGGGGCAGAAAGATTCTAATAGGATTTGGGTTTTTTTTGCCAGCAGAGATTCTTTCCTTCCAAGGAAGGAATGCTGAAGGGAGCTGCTTTTGGAACAGGGTTGCACTGGTGATCTCCTGAGGTCCCTACAGTTCTGTGACTCTGTGCATGCTGAGAACATACAGTCTCTGTTCTTTAAACTCCATGAGCTAACTCTGGCAAAAAACAGTTTCCAATTGGAATTTTGTGTCTTATAACACAGGTTAAATGATATGTGGACAATTGGGCTCCAGGATAGAGAGCTAACGTGTTGGGAAGAGGTAAGATTTCATTTGAAATGGATGGAGCACTGCCATGTGCTCTGCCTGCAGATGGTCCTGCACTGTGTGCCGTTGTGCTGCCACGTTTCTGATTGAGCATCCTTGTCTTCCAGATTGAGCAGAGCGGTGAGATCCCTCCTTCGTGCTGCAATTTCCCTGTGGCTGTGTGCAAAGACAAAATGTTTGTCTTCTCGGGGCAGAGCGGAGCAAAGATCACCAACAATCTCTTTCAGTTTGAATTCAAGGAAAAAATGTAAGTGCAGGCAGTGACACAGAGCAAAAGCCATTGAGTTGAAGTTGTTGGGGGGAAGGCTGCATCTCACGACCGGCAGGATGGATTCAATAAGACGGGGGCTTCTGGCTGGGCTCTGTGACTCACTTCGTAATGCTGTTCTCACTCACCTGTTTTTGTCTCAGATGGACACGGATCCCCACTGAGCACCTCCTGCGGGGCTCCCCGCCCCCCCCGCAGCGCCGCTATGGTCACACCATGGTTGCCTTTGACCGGCACCTCTACGTGTTTGGTGGTGCAGCAGACAACACCCTGCCCAACGAGCTGCACTGCTATGATGTGGACTCACAGACCTGGGAGGTTATTCAGCCCAGCCCCGACAGTGAGGTAAAACCCTCAGCTTTCCTCTCTGCCTTTTACTCTCCATCTTTTTTTGACCCATCTTTGCTGCCAATGTGTTTTTAACCATAAAAGCACTATAGAATATTTGTAATTCAAGTTCTGAGCCAATCGTTACCCAACTTGTAGTGTTAAGTGGGCAGAGTCTGCAGAACCTGAGGAGGGAATGGCACCGATCTGTCTCAGCACCCTCACTGGCCTTCTGAAGCCAAGAGCAGCATGTGCTTCTGACACCGAAAGCTCTGAATGCTTTTTTCTTTTCTCTTGTAAATAAGGAGAGAGCTCAGTGTGTTGGGGACCTCCCCTGCTTTGCTTTGGGGCACAGTGCTGGGGTGGATCGCTGTGATGTGCTCTGTGGATGGATCAACTCATCACATTGTCTCCCTGTGCAGAGTGGTTATATATACACTGATGTATCTGCAGGCAGCAGAGATGTTATTATGGAACAAAACCCCAAATTCCAGCCGTGAGGCCCTGACCAGAGCTCATGGCCTTCAGATGTGGCCCCTGGAGCTGCCAGGGTGCCCTATTCTGTTTGAGGAGATGCAGTTCAGCACCTTGCAGGTGGTTTTATGGTTGTAAAGGAAGCACAGCATTCAGAGTTGCATCCTCTTTAGAAAATACCTTTTAAATTCCAGATCATCATAGCTGTGACCTTTCCAAGTTTGTGCTCAGCAAACTGGAGAGGCATCTTGGTGAAGGTAAGATTTATTAAAGAAAAAGGTTAAAGAGAGGAAAATGGCTGTGGTTTGGGTTGTTCCACACCTCGGTTCCTTTCTGTCAAATACATTCGTATCTTTTCTCAGTGATGTTTATTATGGAATTCTCCCCAAAAAAGAGAAGTTCAGGCTCGTGTGGGTGATGGGCAGAGGGCATTTGTGTCTGTGGTGCAGTCAGGGTGAGGTGCTGCAGCAGTGCAGTGCTGCCATGACTCGCGTGAAGCGGATATAAGGTTTGATAAGATAGGAAATGGGATTTTGAATGAGGAGTGGTTGCTCTGCTTTGTCCTTTGGGGACCATTCATTTGCATTGCATTGTTCAGAACTTTTGTCAATGGCCTTGAAAGAAAACAGGAAATCACAGCTTTCCCCTGGTATCTCCTGATTGCCTGCAGTCTTAATGATTAAATCCTCAGTGATTTGGATTTCTCATTAAGGTGGGCCCAGGCAAATGGTCTGTTTCAGCATATATGCAAAGTAACACATCTAGGAACAGGGTGTGTGGTTCTGCTTAACAGCTTCCCTTAAGAATACCCTTGGAAACAATGAGTTACAAACTTTAGTCACTGTGGGTAGCTGAGAAAAGCTCCCTGTAATGGAAAGAGCCTGGAAGTACTGATGGTATTTTTGGCTGTGTGAGCTGACATAGCATAGCATCATTTAGTAACATAAATACGTTGCCCCTGTGTTCCTTAGAGCAGCTCCCATGGACCATCTCCTGTAGGCACTCTGTGATGTGACTGTGCATCTCATGCTGTAACACTGCTGGCAGTGACTCCCTGCTGGGTCCTGCAGGAGTTTATGTTGTTCTTCCAGTCTGAGAACCTTCTCACCTAAACTGCAGCCCGAGAACCATTTAAGCTGAGTGCGAGCTCTGAGGTGCATCAAAAGCTAACCCAGCCCCTGGGTGGGAACTGTGCAGTTGACTTAATGCTGCTTTTACAGTGATTCACTTTAATTTGCTGAGGCCTTTGAGTAGAGCCGAGTGTATTCCTAGTGAGTTTATGTGGGGGTTTGCACAGGTTTAATTAAATTAATTGTGACGTAGGTGGAATCAGCCCCGAGTTGGTGCTCAGGGCTCTGATCTCAGCTATTTGAATGATTGCTGGGCTGCAGCATGGAGGAGCAAAACTAAGGCACAGCTTTGTGAGTCAAATCAGAGCCCCGAGGAGCACCACAGGATGAGATCTCAGTTTGTGCTGTCTGGAGTTGGGTACTGAGATGGGTTCTGGCGGCAAGAGATGCCAAAGGAGTGAGTGCTGAAAGGTGGTGTGAGCCATGGCAGCAGTGTGGGGAGGGAAGGAGGCTGGCTGATGGGTTCTGCTGTTGAAAGTGAAGATTCCACCTTGAGCTTACAAATCTCGTTAACCTAAAATAGGGAAAGCACTTCAGCAGATGAAGCAGCTCGCTGTGCTGTGAGCGGGGTGCAGCCCGGGGCTGCGGAGCTGTCAGGGCTGAGGTGGGAATTCTTTCTGTCAGCACTGCTAATAAAGTAAGGAGATCACGATAATTGGGGGATAAGAATGGGGTCTGGAGGCGCTGAATCCATCTGGGGGCAGTGTGTCTCATTCTGGGGCTTTTTGCAGTCCCAAATGTGCTGTAAGAGTGAGGATGGCTGTTTCCTGGGGTTCCTTTCCCAAACTGGGCTGTGTGCTGCTGTGTGGGTGAGACTGGTTTTACACGAATGTGAAAAATCCTGCCCAGAAAAGGAGCTGAGATCCCATCCTCCTGGTCAGCCCTGTGCTGTTCCAGCTGCACTCCCAGCCCTTGGCTGCACACTGCTGAGCTGCACAGGTGGGGAGCAGAGGGCTGGGTCTGTGTCTGCCATTGAAGACCATGCAACTGCAGGACCCCGTGCTGCTGTGCTGGTGCTGCACACAGCTGGCAGCTTTTGTGGCTCCGTTTCAGATTTGTAAATTCTTTGTTGCCTTTTACCTCTGCAGAGTCCCCAGGACTGCTGGCCTAGCAGGACACACATTAGTGCATACCTGTTCCATACAAACTGTGCTTGGCTTGCACATATTCAGCAGCTGGTTTGTCAGCCTGGGAGGTCTCCCAGCAAAGAATTCAAGACAGAGTGAGACTTTCTGGCATCTGGCGTTGGTGGACTGGGGAGCACAGAGCCTGGTGTGCCTCTCTGCAGCTCTTTACACTCCTGCACTCTACAAACCTTTCTGCTTTTATTCTCTTTTTGGCTCTGAGTGTCTCCTTGCTGCATTTCTGTGCAGAGCTGTGGGGCTGCAGAGCTCTGTGAGCTGTGGTTGTGGTGGGAGCTCCATGCTGGCCAAGTTCTGCTCTGATTCCTGAAGCCTTCAGCTGCAGAATGTTTTGATGAACTGTGCACGGCCTTCCTGTTTTGTTTCTTTTTCTGGGTTATCCTTCAATATTTACATTTCTCTTCATACAGAGTTCCAAAATGCAGTATGGCTATTCAGAAAGTGTTGATGGCTGAAGTTAATTAGTAAATGGTAAGGTGCTGTTCCAGGGCTCTGGTACCAACCATTGCAGATGGAACTCCATTGCTATGGGGATCCTTACTGAGTGCAGGAGGTGGATAGGCCATGACTGGCAAAGCACAGTGTGACTCAATTACATATTCCAGTGATTCATGTTTCCTTTCTGGCAATGATTGTGAAAACGCTACGGTTGGAAGAAAAACAAAAGTGTTTTCTAAATGAGAAGGCTGTTTTCTGAACTGCAAATCCTTCAGGGTGAGAGAAGTATTTGAATTAAAAACAAAGCTGAAGTATCACATTCTTAAAATAAAATAAAATAAAAAAAGCAGGGAGATGGCTGAGCCCATGCAAAGGCTCAGAAAAAAAATCACTGTCACTGCATGAAGGCTGTGTGTTCCATGGAGGTGTGCTGGTTTGGGAGGTCTTTGCCCTTGGGTGAAATGTGTGAGCTGCCCCATGGAAGGGCACTGCTGCAGCTCTGACCCAGCAGCTCCTGCAGAGCTGTATTTGCTTTGTGGCACCGTGCTTTGGGTGCAGGTTTTGGTTTGTGTGGGCTGTGCTGGGTGAGCCCTGCCTGCTCACAGGGCTGGCACCAGGTGCAGTGGGCAGAAAGTGGCTGTGCCCAAGGAAACAGCCCTGTAATTCTGTAGGCATCACTCGGGGTGCACATGGCTGTGCTGCTTCAGGCTGCACACAGAACATTTTACACTTCTCACCGTTGATCTCCTGCAGGTGGCTTTTCTCAGAAGAAAAGAAGAGCTGGCTGTATTTATTCCCTCCCCTTTGTCCATTTCTTCCCCCAGTTGCCCAGCGGGCGGCTCTTCCATGCTGCAGCTGTTATCTCAGATGCAATGTACATCTTTGGTGGGACGGTGGACAACAACATCCGCAGTGGGGAGATGTACAGATTCCAGGTGGGTCGGCAGCTTCACACCCCCCCTCCATTCTGTGCCCGTCCTTCCACATCCAGCTCTGCTTGGAGGCTCCCATGGGCTCACTGTGCCCCACGGGTTCCTCTGCGTTTCAGACTCAGATGTCAAATGCTGATGGAATAAAACCTGAGAGTTGCTGCCTGGGCAGATGCTGGGAGAAGTGCTTTTGGATATGGGAGACTGAAATGAACGGAAATGGCTGATGTGGGATTTTATCTTTCTTGCAGTTTTCCTGTTACCCAAAATGTACTCTGCATGAAGATTATGGAAGGCTGTGGGAAAACAGGCAGTTCAGTGATTTGGAGTTTGTTTTGGGAGAGGTGAGTGGTTTTAGTGAAAATGTATTGGATTTGATGGGAAGAGAGGGTCCCAGCAGGGCTGTGATGCTTATGTAGCACGTGCAGAAAGCAAATCGTGCCCAGGGAATGCAGCCTGAGGAGCAGCACCACTGCTGCAGGTGCCCTGCTTTCCTAAGCTGCACTGATCTGATAATTTTATAAAACTGCAGAGAAGAAGGAACTCTGTGAGTGTGCAGTATGGAGGTGATTGGAACCACTGAGCTGTGAGGTCCCAAATGGTTCCTGAGGAGCAGCTCAGTGCTCTGCAGATCTCAGATCACCTCCAGAGCCACTTCTTAATTACTGAAATAGAGTGAGGAAAAGCAGCACAGAGAAATAAAAATAATGTTTTCAATGGAAAACATGAGAAATTTCAACTCAACTGCTTTTTTTTTTTTTTTTTTTTGCTAAAAAGTTGCTAAGGACTTTGCAGAGATCAGATGATGCTTTCAAGAACAGAACAGATTATGAACCAGAACTGAATAAATAAATCATGAGGAACAACAGCAAACAAGCAGAGTGTTATTCTGAAAACTACCATTCAGAGTGAAATCAGATGCAGTGCTGAGATGCACGGCCCATCACAGGACCTGTGCAGCAGCTTCTGCTCAGCGACCGTAACAAAGACTTCCCCAAATGGTGTTTGCCATTGCTCAGCCCTTGGGGAAAACTGGTGTTGAATTTCACCTGGATGTGAGGAGCAGATGCAGGGCTGCCTTTCATTCTGACTTGCAGTAAATGTTTGGTGATCTGGAGTACAGCCCGGGTTTCTGCTGCTGCTGCCATCTGCCACCTCTGTGTGGTCTGGGAATTAATGTCTGATGGGGTTCTGCCCCTTCCTTTGGCAGAAGGAGGAGCGGGTCCGAGGACACACTGCAATTGTGACAGCCCGCTGCAAGTGGCTGAAAAAGAAAATCATGCAGGCGAGGGAGAGGCTGAAACAGGTGAGCGTGTGTGAGGTGTGTGCTGAGGTGGTGCTCACTGTGCCCCGTTTGGGAAGTCAGGTTGTTAGGAAGCAAACAGTACATGCTGGGACAGATGTAGGAGCAAAGCAGTATCTGATGCTAAGATGCTCTTGGGCCTGTAAAATAATGAGGATAATTGGTATTAACAGGGACTGCTGGGTGGGCATCAGGGCAGGCCAGGGGCAGAACGTGGAGGAGCCAAAGCTGATCAGTGATCTGGATTTGGCACTGTGGTTCTTGGGGCTCTGCTGGCTGTCTCAGTTCTAATCTTCGGAGCACTGCTGGGGAGGTGCACACACTCCTCACCCTGGAGAGGACAAATGCTGTGTTGTTGGGGATGGCCAGCGAGATGAGACAGATTAGAGGGAAGGCAGGATTAAGGGTTTGATGCTGGCTGCCTTTTACCTCAGTATTGCATGATTTTTCTGGAGCACGGAGCATTATCTGCCAGCTTTACTCACAGCTTCTCACCAAAAACTTGTTGTCCTTCAGCACATGGGAGCACGTAATCTTGAAGATAACGAGGTCTTGGGTCTTGATAACTGTGCAGTGATGAGAAGGATCTTTGGTTCGGTAGTGATGTGTGAGTGCTAATGCAGCCTCATTGCCATGCTGGAGTGGTTTTTTCTGTCTCACTAGAAATCAAAGCAAGATATTGAAGATGAGGGGCACGCAGCGTGTCAGAAGGATGGCATTGGTGGGAATGTCAAACTGTGCCGCCTGCAGCCGCTGCTGGAGGTGCCCATCCGAGAGGCTGAGGCTCAGCCCTTCGAGGTGCTCATGCAGTTTCTGTATACGGATAAAATAAAATACCCTCGCAAAGGTAGGGCAGCAGGATAAGCACTGAGTGCTGTTTGGCCCATTGCAAAGCCATGCTCTCATCTCTTCAAAATGCCGAGGTGAGGGATTGCCTCGAGAAGTCCATTAGGTGCTTTCATTGAAGGTCCCTGAGTTATTAAGCAGTTGGAGGCCAGGAAGTAATTGCCAGACGTCTCTCAGCTCCGGCACAGCAGATCTGACTCCTGGTACAGTGCTGAGGGCTGCTGGGCTGTGGGATTGGCTGTGGGAAACCCATTACAACTCCAGCTGGAGGAGGAGAGGAGCTGAGGCTGCACAGCACAGGTGTTTAAATGGAGGTGCATCAGCTCTCACACCGGAATCTTTGCTTCAGCTTCAGCCCCAGATCTTTCTATTCTAGAAAAAATCGTCCTCAGTAAAATACTAATTTGTAAGCAGTTGTTCCAAAGCTTTCCCTGCAAAGTCTAATTAATGAGGATGAGGGAACCTCCTCACTGGCTTCTGCTGACGTTGCCAGACCAGCTCTCAGCTGTTCCCTAATCCTCAGTGTGTTTATTGCAGGACAGTCAGACCAAAGAAGGATTATCACACCCAGCTTCTCCCTTTGTTGCAGGGGGTTGCCCTCCTCCCTGGCCTCCCCAGTTCTCCCCAGTGCTTACCTCCCTGCAGCATTACTGGTCTGCTGGGATCCTCCAGTGCTCCCATCTGACTTTGTGTATTCCTGGCTGCTCCCGGGTTCAGAGGGCATTGCTCTGGGGGATCCTCTGTGCTGAGCTAATGGCACCTGGCACGCCTATCAAATGGGATTTTCCTTATTAGACACTGGGAAGCCAAATAACATGCAAGAAGGCTTTTCTCTGTCAAAAAGTAGTTACAGCAGATGGTCAGAGATCCCCTGTGAGGAAAGCAAAGACTGGAGGGTTATTCCTGGGGCGGTGCTCAGTGGCCCCGTTTGCAGTGGTCACCCTGAGCCCCACAGCCCCTCTGCACTGCGTAGCCCTGGCTTCCAGGCCTCTGCTCTGTGTGCCCCAGAATTGTCTGAACGTGCTCGAAAAATTGTCACAAGAGCTTTGCCCAAACACTCATTTGGGGTGGCTCTTTCACACCTCTGCTTTGGGAGATGATCCATTTCTTCTTTTCAGTATCCAGTCTTGGTTTAATCTGAGCAGCAGTGGAACTCTTCATTCTCCATAGAAATACTTTTCCAATTGCTGCCCGTTGTGCTGCTCTGAATGCTTGGGTTGAGTCAGAAGAAATGCTTTGAGGAAGTTTCTCCTTTTGTTCAGTGAACTCTGGTGCCATGGAAGGGGCTTTTCTCTCTGGTGATTTCAGGCCATGTGCAGGACGTGTTACTCATTATGGATGTGTACAAACTAGCCTTAAACTTCAAGCTCTCTCGCCTGGAACAGCTCTGCCTTCAGTACATCGAAGCATCTGTAGATCTGCAGAATGTGCTCATTGTGTGTGAAAATGCTAACAAGCTTCAGCTGGATCAGCTAAAGGTAATCACACTTTGCATACAAAGTAACTGATAAGAAATTAAAGAAAATTCTGATGTAATTAATGTTTTGCAAAAGCTGTCAGCTTTGCAAATTCGGTTCTCCCCTATAATTATGGCTGCCTGAGTGTGTGTTGCTGTGGATTGTACTGCAGGAGCTCGTGAATATTATGTAGACTTCTTCAGTGAGTGATATTTTTGCATATCTGTCCTGCAGGATATAAAGGGCAGAGTGACTTTGTCTCTTCCCCAGTTGACTCTCACTGCAGTGAGGTGGCAGCAGTGCATTTTCTGGTCGCAGGGTCTGATGCTGAGCCTGTTAATGGGTTCTTTCACCTGATTTGATGGAAAACTAAACTCAGTTCTTAGACCTGTGATCTAAAAATGAGTGTTGGCAGCTCTCTGTATGGTGGGACTCTGAGGCACTTGCTGAAATGCAGAGCTGGTACCCACAGCCTTCAGACCGTGCTCGTGCTGCAGTGCTCCCAAGGGTGGGCAGAGCCAATTCTGCTTCCACCAAGTGCAGCAATTAGTGCAGCCACACAGTGCTGACTGGGACAGCCTGTGCAGAGCACCGTGCCACAGAGCTGACACAGCCAGAGTGGGGTAATGCAAACCAGTGTGCATAGGCACTTCCTTGGGCACTGTGCACTGGATTTGGGCAAAGGAGAGGCATCCAGGAGCACAGCAGCAGTTAGATGCGTGCTGGCGCAGCCCTCGGTGCGTAGGACCGTGGAGCATCTCAGCCCTGGGATGCAGTGCCAGTAGCAGCAGGTCAGCAGGCTGCGTGGCTGCCAGCAGGGCAACAGGGGCTCTTCCACGCCGCTCCACTCGGTCAGGATCCTCCTGGGTTGGCATCCTGGTTCTCAGTGCCCGGTGCTCCTGGTGGCTCGGTGCCATCTGCACAAGGCTGCTCTTCCTGGCATCCAGGCATTACTTAAAGCATTGTTTCCGATGGGTCCAGGCAGGTCCCTGTAGGTGGCAGCTGAACTCACTATGGCAGAAAATGGAAATTAGTAATTATTCCTTGGCCTAATTTTGTACTCACCTTATGGTGAGCTGGTATAGATTACATTTTTTGCTTATTTAAATATCCTGAGGGAAAGCCTTGGTTTGCACTGCCAAATGGGCTGCTTTTTTTGTTGTTCCTTTCACTGTTCAGCATTAGGTCTGGTTCATTTGTTGCCTTCCTACTGCATTGATTTCTCTAGCAAATTTGGCATACGAGAGCCTGCAAGATCTCCTTCAGACTGTTTGCAACCTTGTCAGAAAAGGTTGGGCAAAATCTCCACCCTTTCCTTGAAGAAATCCTTCGAGCTTCTTGTACCATTACTGGATAGTATTGAAGAGTTAAGATCTCTTCACCCTTCTGATTAAATATTGGGTTTTAATCATATAAAACACTGTTATGAGCAACCAGTCTCAGTTTGCTTCATCTCCTGAGGTTCCTATTTTAGAAATCATCAGAGCAGCCGGATGGCAATCAATTAATCTTTTCCCCATTATTTCTTATTCGGGTTTTTCTTAATATTTGGAACTGTCCTGCATCTCCTGTTCAGGTGGGAGCTGAGGTGGTCGCTTTGTAAGGAAAAGCTCTGGCAGTTCCAGTGCTGGGATCCACAGGCAGGGGCTCAGGGAAGGCTGGCTGTCACCCAGAGTGACATCGATGTGCTGTGGGATGACGTCATGCAAGACCCTGTAATTATTATTATTATAACTCTTTTGTTTAAAGGAGCACTGCCTGAACTTCGTGGTGAAAGAATCACATTTTAATCAGGTCATAATGATGAAGGAGTTTGAGCATCTTTCTTCATCCCTCATAGTGGAGATTGTCCGGAGGAAGCAGCAGCCTCCTGTTCGAACGCACTCCGACCAGCCGCTCGACATCGGTAACTGTTGTGCCTACTGAGCTGTCAGCCTGGGGCTTGGACTGCTGGGCTTTGCTCAGTCTAGGAGGTGGCCCAAGGAGGGGAGACTGCTGCAGAGCTGCAGTTCTTCATCTGGGAGAACTGCTGCAGGCTGCGTCCCAGGCTAAGGCAGAACTGCCATTTCTTTCCCCTCTGAGCTCCAGTCAGAGTATTGTCCCCGCTGCAGTACATGAAAAAATCGTGTTGAATGCTTTCATGTTCTTCTCACAGTAAAATATCCTGGTTCTGATCAGAGAGAAGAGGCAGAAGGAATGGAAAGATATATTAAAAACAGAAGAAGGTTAGAAGAAAAGGCAGTAGGTCTTCAGTTTAAGTGGAGTAGAAGGTAACCAAGCTGTAGGTTTTCACCTCCTTGGGCAGGGGGGGGTTGGGAGCTAAAAATGAAGCGTAGGAAAAACAAATGAACTATAGAATGCACCTCTTAGTGCTGTCCCCAGGGCATGGCAGAGCTGCTGGGTGTGTATGATGTGCAGTAGTGTGATAGGGAAGGATGAAGCTCCTTTTGCTCCAAGATGAGGTAGTAGGGCCTGCTTGCTGCTCACCCCAGGGGTCCCAAAGGAAGGAGAGCGTGGAAAGGGGGCATGGCACCTGCACAGCTGGAACTGCAGTGTCCAACTACTTCTGTGTTGACTTTCAGGAACGTCTTTGATTCAGGACATGAAGGCTTACCTGGAAGGAGCTGGGATTGAATTCTGTGATATCATCCTTCTCTTGGACGGCCACCCACGACCAGCACACAAGGCCATCCTTGCAGCCCGCTCCAGGTGAGTCTCTGTTCATTACAGCCATTGAAGTTATTGCACGTGTACAACGCTGTGCAGCTGCTGGGGCAGCTTGCTTTTTGTAGAGGACAGGGAGGAACTTTGTACCCACATACGGTGTAAGTTGCAGCTTTGCTCTGTAAGTGTAATAAGCCTTTAAGCCATAATGATAAAATATTTTTCAATTTGATACCCAGCAGGGGAAGAGAGGAGGAAATTAAAATGGTAGAGACTCTTTGGAGGGTTTGTAAGCATAGAAGCTGCACTGAAAGAGAAGGGATCTGTAAAATCACAAGAAGGAAATGTGGTGTTGAGCATAAGGCCATTCTGGTGAGGTGGGAAGCAGCAAATGGCCACTGAGCATCCATCTCAAATCATGTGAAACCTGAGTCTGTTTCTCAGCTGCTGATATGAATGAGCGTAGAAAAGGATGGTGCACAACAGAGAGTAGATTGTTCCCATCAGCTCCGTTCCCAGAGCCGAGTCGCTCACCCTGCAGTGAGGTTCTCCCTGTGTTTTTGTTGAGTGGGTTTGTCCCTGCCATGTGTGCTCTGTGTATCTGCACTCTATGCCTGTGTGACGTTAAGCATCCACATAGCATTTCTATTTCAGTACTGTCTCAGTGTTCTGCAGCCCCACTCATGATACTCAGGATTGTTACTGTAGTATTTTACCAGAAACGTTTCACGACTCTGTAGAAGAAGCCCTGTGTGATTGGCAGCCATGGTCTGTGGATGGCGAGGAGATTCATAATGCTTTCAGCTTTCTGCTGGGTTTTATGCAAATTAGATGAAAATCTAAGCAGTGTGTGTCCCAATTTTCAGGAAAGGGAGACAAAGTTCAGGTAGTGCTGATGGAGGATGGGGATTATGTCTGGAGTACAAACAGGCAGGCATATGGAGCACAGTTCAGCCGTGTTTTTGCCCAGGTTACCTCCTGCCTTTGTATCTTGGGAGCTGCAGTGTTTAATAGCTGCTTCTAAACAGCACTGAGTTAAACCATCCATATGCAGAATGCTTTATGTTGCTCTTAATTCCTTTTTTTCTAGTTACTTTGAAGCCATGTTCCGTTCCTTCATGCCTGAAGACGGGCAAGTGAATATTTCTATAGGTGAAATGGTTCCCAGCAAACAAGCTTTTGAATCCATGCTTCGATATATTTATTATGGAGAAGTAAACATGCCTCCTGAAGACTCCCTGTATCCTTAAATCTGGAGTGTCTGTATGAAGTGCACACACAGTGACTCAGCTCTGGTTTGCTGGCTGCAGGCTGGGGATGGTCAGGGCTGCATTAACAAGAGCTGCATTTCAGCCTCTGCTGCTGCATCTGTGTGCACTGCTGGTGCTGTTCCTTTGCTGTATGTTTTTTCCCTTAATGAGATTAACAGCTACCTCTTTGCTGCACCTTACTATTACGGCTTCTCCAACAACAGACTGCAAGCATACTGCAAGCAGAATCTGGAAATGAATGTTACAGTGGAGAACGTGCTCCAGGTAATTGCCCTCAGGAGCTTTAATTACCTGCTTCACTTGAATACAGAAAAGCCTAAGAGTCTGGTCCAGGGGACGTGGGGTTTGTTTTTTCTCCATCAAGCAGTGCTGCCCTGTGTCTGCTGGCTTAGTCCCATCTCGTGGGGTGAGTGTGGCACTGCCAGTGCTGGGCTCAGAGCCGTGCAGACCCCTGGAGCACAGCAGCCCTGGATCCTTTTCTGCTCTTTCTGCCATTGGTGCTCCTGTGTGGAAGTGCTCAGGAGGTGCTGTTTGGCCAGCAGGATGCTCGTGTTGAGCTCCTCATCCCACAGTGGGAACAGACTTCCCAAAGGGCTTTACACAGTGTGAGCTCAGCCTCATCTGCACGTCTTGTTTTCAACAGTAACCAAAGCAGTGGTGTGCAGGTGACATTACTCTTGTTTTAACAGCAATGCCGATCTGGCAGCGAAGTTTAAGGCAACAAAAGTACTCTGTGATAGCAAAGCCATCTGCGTGGTAGGAAACGGAGCAGAACCAAATCCTGCACAGACTGCTCCTGGCTCCTGCCCACAGCAGTCTCACTGCAGCACCTCAGGGAACCTGGCTCTGAAACTGATCTGCAGTTTCCTCTCATGAAGACTCCACACATCTTAGATGCAAGGTTTACTTCTGATTAGTTTAGAAAAGATTTGGGTTTGTAATGAAAGCCATCGATGTTTCCGTAGCTGAGAGGAATTCTCTCCTATGAGTCAGAGCAGTGTTTGTGTGCTGTATGTCTGAGCAACACAGAAGGAAGATCTTACCTTTGCTTTTGCTGTAGATTTTGGAGGCAGCTGACAAGACCCAGGCCCTGGACATGAAGAGGCACTGCCTGCACATCATTGTTCACCAGTTCACCAAGGTTGGTTGCATCTTTTCTGGGGCTTTTGAGAGCTGCTGTCCTCTGTCGCTGCGTTGGTTAAAGACACATTAACATAGGAATCCATTCCATTCTTCCTCATGTGAGACAGCTGAGACATGGCTGCGTGTCCTTGGCGCTTGCTGACAAGTCTGCCAGGCATGCTTCTCACATGAACAATAAATAAAAGACCAGAATATCCTAGTCTGGAAATGCAAAAACCTTCTAAAGCAGAATTGCTTCCATTTCCACTTGTTCCAGCTGTTAGTTTTGTGCCATGCAATCGTTGGGTTTTTGTGCATACAAGATAAGCTTGGCGTGGCATGGACTGAGTGTGCACACTGCTCTTTCACTAGTAGCTGCGAGTGTCCTGGGCTCAGTTCTGCTGAAGCATTCTCCCTGCCATTGATGGGAATGGAGAAATCATGTGCTCATGTGGATGAGCATGGCCTGGCTGGGCTTGTTGTGGTTTCCATGTCTGGATACGTGGCTGATAGGAACAGTCACGAGTCTGACGTGCTGATGTTCCCATCCTCACTGGGGAGAATGAGGGGATTGTCATCGTGTTGTTCAGATGAGAGAAGATCCCTCCATGAGTTTCCCAGCTCACTGCACAACTGTTAGCATTGCTGAAATTTGTAGGTAAATCATAGAGACTGAACTGGGATTTCTGGGTGCTCCATACCTACTGATTCCATGGGTGGTGTTCAGGTAGGGGTCTGTCTTCTGTATGTTTAATCTCACAGTCCTGTTGATGCCTGAAGTTTGGAAAGCACTGCTGTGTCCAGGTGGCATCTAAAGGACATTCAGAGGGGGTATTCAGCCCAAACTCAGTGCACTGTACATCCAGAAATCACTTAGAGTGCACAAAAAGCTTTGAGAGAGTAGTGAGCATCCAGAAGTCCCAAAGCTGCTCGAGGGACCTCAGCACGAGGCTGCAGCCCTGTGCTGTGTTTTCTTCTGGTCCCCCAGTCCTGCAGAGGGGCACAGCTCAGTGTGGCTCCCACTGCACACAGCCCAGGGGCTGGGATGGCTTCTTGGCTTTGGGGCAACGCACTGTAATCCCTGAGAGCTGAAATCCTGGGGTGTCTGCTTCCCAGGGGAGGCCAGAGGAAGGCAGGCAGGTTGGAGCGATGCTCACCAGAATGTGCTGAGGGAAACAAATATTGCAGCATATCAGGAAAAAAAAAAAACCTGAACTGCAGGGTGTTACTCAGTTGTGCTTATCTTCACCAGTCAGAATATGTAGAAATGTTTTATATTCAAACTGTTGCCTGTTAGAACAGTATTCATCAAAACGTGGCTGGAAGGCTGTCAAGCAGATGTGCAAGAAATGGTAATCATGCAATGTTTGTGTTTGGCCTGAGGAGCTTTGGTGTGTGATTTTTGGCCCAGCACTGTGTGACTGCGTGGCTGGGCAGGAATGCCTGCTGCTCTGCTCCTTCGCACGCCGCAGTCTCTGAAAGGTGATTTGTTCCCTCTGTGTGAGCCCAGCAGGGCAGTGAGGCTCAGACAGGCTGCTGTGAGCTCCCCTTCCCCACCTTGGTTCGTGCTGTCCTCGATTTAGGGCACAAAAGAGTTTCCCCACAGTGAGAGCTCCAATGGAGGAGCTGTTCCCAGAGGTTCAGTCCCTGGGGCAACGGCTGTGCAGGCGTTTGTGTGTCAGTTCTGTGCTAAAGCCCAATAAAAGTGCTGCTCTGCAGTGTCTGCCTGTGCTCTGACACCAGCCCTGATCTGCTCCTACCACTGCGGGGCCCACTTCCCACCAGTGCTATGGGTCTCCTTGGTCCCAGTCCCCAGAGCCCCAGTGCTGGCCGTGTGCCCTTGGGCAGCATTGCTCTGTGCTCTCTCCGAAGCTGTTCTCAGCAGTGAGGTGATGATGGTGTCAGTAATGCAGGCAGGGCTGTGGGCAGGGTCAGCTGCCAGGGCTGGACGTGGTGCTGATAACCACAGGAGCAGGGATTGCTGGCATGGAGAAGAGAAGGCAGAGCTGTGTGCATCCGAGCTTCGAGCAGCTCGAAGGGAAGGGAACTGCATCACAGTTTGCTGGAGGTTCACACGCATTTGGTGTGGCGCAGGTTTCTGTTGGCTGCTGCTCCATTGCCCTGCTTGGGCTGCAGGAAGCATTAAAGCAGACCCCCCTGCTCTGCTCTGAGGTACCACGGCTCCGGAGCAGCGCATGGGAGTGCTGGGATCCCATCCTCTGTCAGTTCAGGTGATCTGAAGGAGACAAACAGACTTCAAAGCTGCATGCTGTGCCGTGCCTGGCGCTGCTTTAAGAGAGCGCTTCGTTTGCATCCGGTAACAGCAGAATTGTCATTATGAGCAGTAATTACTGCTTGCTTGTGCTGGGATCAGCGTTTCTGCTGTGCTCCCCTCCCCTCCATGCGGCACTGTGCGCTTATGGGAAGTGGTGAGGGCCAGATCCTGCACCCCAGCTGCGATTTCACACCTCACGTTGACCTGAGCTCTTCCTGTGGGGCAGTGGGGGTAAAACAGCAGCACATCAGCTGCCATTTGGGGAGGGTTTTAATTTCTTGGTGTTTTTCTTTTCTGTTTTTCTTTTCCTTGAAGGTCTCCAAGTTGCCAAACCTCCGCTCCCTGAGTCAGCCACTCCTCCTTGACATCATAGAGTCGTTAGCTAACCACATCTCAGACAAGCAGTGCGCAGAGCTGGGCTCAGACATATGACATGCTTTATAGTGGGACGTCCCGTTTCTTCCTCCAGAACAGCCGTACCACTTTGTGGCTGCTTTTACTCCTTTAGCATTCCGTGCTGAGCTGCTCGCAGCGTAGCAGGCAGCCAGGAGGAGCGTGGACAGCCGGCACTGCGAGGATGTGCTTGGTTTGTGCCCTGGTGGAGAAGGGTTTGGTCTCTGCTACACAGATGTAACACTGCAGCCATTAAGGAAATGAATCCATCCCAGGTGGTTCTGAGGGCTTTCCCAGTCCTACTTGTATAGTGTGAAAGCAGCCCTGAGTAAAGGAGTCGTTCCTATGTTGAAGAAGTATTTAAAACAAACAGTATTAAACAAACTTCACCTGAAACAGCCATGGGCTGCAAGTGGAGGTCAGGCATTACAGAGGTGGAAGCAGAGAGTGGTTGCAGTGGGGATGCTGATGTTGGACCAGGATGGAGTGACTTTTTTGGGACTCCCTGTGGCGTGGATTAAAAGTTAAGCCCTGTTGCAACTGCCTTGATTGGTGGGCTGCAGAAAGTGCAGGGCTCTGCTCTGCTGCAGGTCAGACTAGAAGATTACGGTCCTTTCTGACCACCAAATCCATTAATCCTATCTCACTAAGCCTTTCTAAATCAATATATTAATAAAGAGTTAACGTCTCCTGCCTGCATTATATGATTGACTTGGCATTCATTTGGGAAAAAAGTAAGCAAAAGGAACTCTTGGCTTGATGAAGGTCGCTTTGTTAAAAATAAGTATCTGTGCTACATCTTGTTTCTCATTTGAAGCTCTTGGTTGGCTGTTGCCTTTGCAGGAAGGTGGATGGAGGCAGAGCACCGTTCCCAGTCAGTCCCAGTCCTGAATGGGCAGCACGGCCCAGCAGTCCCAGCCCAGGCTGTGCACATGTGAGCTGTGCTGAGGGCACCCAGGGCGCTGGGGACCACCTGATCCCCCCAGCTGATGGGTTTGTTTGGGTGAGTCAAACCACAGGTGGCAGATAAATGAGAGCCAAGCACTCCTCAAGCTGGGGGATTGCTTCCAGGTGCTTCAGAGGGAATGAACCAGCCAGGGGTTGTGGTAATTGTACCAACAATCCACATTTTGCTGGGAAAGCAGACAATGCCCCCACAGAGGGAGGTTCTAAGCTACAACCTGTGATAATTCCAGAAGTTCTTTTCAGCAATGCTGAATCCACTAGAGGACACCAGTTTTCCAAATGTGCACAGCCTGGTAAGGAAGAGCAGGGTGACCTCATCCATGCAGTAACAGCCCGATTGACTCTGTTTTCTGTAACTGTTTGGAATTTGGAATGTATTCCTGAGCACATCAGTGATGACACGTGTGGTCTCTGCACACTTGGTGCTGGGCGTGCAGCTGTCGGTGTCAGAGGTGGCTTTGGCTCAGTCCTGGGCCCGGGGTTGTGGTGCCAACATGGGCAGCTTTGTGCTGGATTTTGGCACTGGGGAACTTGTTCTTTTCCTTGCCCTTGATGAGGACCAATTAACAGCATGGCTGCCTGCTTTGCCTCTTGTCCTCTCCCTCGCCTCCCCTGTATGTAGGCCATGCTGGCTCTTTGTAGCCCTCTGGGCATGTTTGACTTGCATCCTTCTCCATCCTCCGTGGGATTTATCCCAGCAAAACGCACCAGTTGGTTCCAGTTGGGCACGTGGCTCCTGTTTGTGTCAGTGTGTGTTTGCTGCTCCTCGCTGTGCAGTTTGCTGTTAGTGCCTGGCTGCTCACCAGAGCAGGTTTTCCTCCTGATGGAACGCTTCTCTCTAAAAGCCCATTAGGCTGCGGATGGGACGGAGCCCCACTTCCATTACATCGCTGCTCAGAAATGTCTTCCAGCCGTTCCCTGCATTAAGCACCAGGCTTAGGAGCTGTTCTGCTGCTGCTCCATCCCTGAGCCCTGCGTCTGTGGGGCATCACTGCTGAACGGCCCTGTCCCACTCAGGCACAGTGTGCCCTCCCCAGCCTCAAACAGAGCCCCGGCCGTGGTGAAATGCAGGTGGACAAAGCCATGCAGACTCAGGGTTCAGCTGTGCCCCCCCCCGAGCCCTGCAGGGAAAGGATCCCCACATCATCCTTTGCAGTGCCTGAGGGGGATGCAGCCAGGACCCGTCCCAGTGCTCCAGCACCCATCCCTGCTGTGCTGGGGGTCCTGCAGGGCACATCCAGCCCCAGGTGGGTGCAGGTCGGAGCTGTGAGCCCGGCATTGCCTCTCCCTCCCCAGTGTGGTGCAGGCATCACCAGGCCCCAGGAGTACCGGGGCTTCACGCTGAAGCTCGCTGAGAAGAGCAGGAGCACAGAGTGGTAAAAACAGCCGCGTTTAATAAGGAAACGTGCAGTGAGAGCTCAGCAGCCTGCAGAAGGAGGGCAGGGACGGGGCTGCGGGCGCAGTCAGTCGCTCCCCTCCAAGCCCAGGATCTTCTTGACGTAGTTGCGGACGTTGACGTGCAGCTGGGGGGCTGTGGCTGAGAAGGTCTCCATGGCCAGCGCTCGGGCAGCCTCCGAGCCGCCCCACATGGCGCGGTACAGCGGCAGCGTGTACTTCTGCTTCCCCTGCCGGGCACAGCGGCGCTTGGGGCGCAGCCCTGCACTCCCAGCACGGGGCAGGAGGTGCAGGAATGCCCCCCAGCTGCCGGCCGTCCCCAGCACAAACCTGGCTGTGCAGGAACGCCTTCACCTTGCCGTACTCAGGCTCGTGGTTGTTCCTGAGGACAATTTGGCACCAGCGCAGCCGCAGCTCCGCGTTCTGGGCCTTGGAAATCTTCGGGTACATCGCGCTCAGCCTCTCCACGTTGCCTGGGAGAGAGAGCCATCGCCTCCGTCCCATGGGACCACGAGGCAAAACCCCCCCACCCCCTAAGGGCAACAAGGACACTGAGCACTGGAGCTGTGCAGAGAGGGGCAACGGAGCTGCGGGGGTCTGGAGGGGGAGGGGACCCAGGGTGGGTCAGTGCAGCAGATGGGCTCAGGGGAGACCTTGCCACTCCCTGCAGCTCCTGGAGGAGGTTTGGAGGGGAGGGGGGCAGTCAGGCTCTGCTCCCAGTAACAGCAATGGGATGAAAGGTGATGGCCTCACACTGTGCAGGGTTGGGGTGGGGAATGGGAGCAGGGGGGGCACCGCGCTCAGAACCGCAGGGCGGCGGCAGTGAGGACGGCAGTGGCACTGCAGGGTGGTGGCAGTGAGGACAGCAGTGGCACTGCAGGGTGGTGGCAGTGAGGACAGCAGTGGCACTGCAGGGTGGTGGCAGTGAGGTGGCACTGCGGGGGTCTCAGCTGTCCTTCCCACCCACAATGGCTGCGGCTCATCAAAGCCCTGGAGGTGGCCTTGGCCTCACCATCAGGCAGGGGCGACTTCTGCAGGATCCGATCCAGGAAGTAGACCAGCTGGTACGTCCTCCAGGCTGAGATGTCCACAGCTTCGATCTTCTCCATGTTCAGGCCATCAGATGCCCACAGCTCTGCCAGTTCGTCCGCCGGCTTCATCAGCTGCTGCCCCGGGGACAGGTCGGGCAGGAAGGGCGGCCAGCCTGGCGTGTTGAGCCAGCGATCGAACTCCAGACCTGCAGAGAGGCGTGGGGAGGAGGGCTGGGGGGACTCCAAGCCCACATGTGGGGCTCCTGGTGTCCCACACTTCCTCCCAGGACAGTCCCAGCTGCTGCCCAGGGCTGGGTTTGCAGCCAGACACAAGAAGCTCCTGCTGGGAGCGCTGAGCAGAGCCGAGCCCAACTCCAGCACACGGATGGGTCTGCAGTAAGACCAGTGCCAGGATGGAAGCCCAGGAGCTGGGAGCCATGAAGCCAAGCTCTCCCTGTGCTGGGAAGCCCAGCAGCTCGCCGTGTTTGAATGGAAGATGGCTGTGAGCCCCCGAGGTGCTGCACCCTGCGCTGACCTGGGCGAGACTCCACGCTTTGCTTCTTCAGGTCAGGGAAGAACTCCAGGAAGAAATTGAGGGCATCGTCTGCAGTGATGCTCTGGAACTTGAACTTCTCCACGTAGGCCTGTGGGGATGGACAGGGTGGGCCGTGCCATGCAATCACTGCCTCCTGGTCACATCCCCACTGCCTGCTGCCACACACAGCCCCCCTGCACCCCCACCCCCAGCACAGCGCTGCTTCGACCTGCAGGAAGGTGTCAAACTTGCCCTGGTCCCCCACCAGGTGTGCCAGGTAGCTGACGAAGCAGAACCCCTTCTCATAGGGAGTCTCGTTGTACGTGTCGTCCGGGTTGACACCTAGCAGGGCAGAAAGGAGACAGCACAAAGGAAATCATCCCTTGTCCTGCAAAGCGAGTGCTGTGCTCAGATTCATCACTGCCACCACTGTGCCATGCAGCTCCCCATCACAAAGCAGCCCAGCCCCCCAGCAGCCCAGCCCCCCAGACCTGGCTCAATCACCACCCGCAGTTTGTTCAGTGGGTGCTCCTCCCCAGTGGTGTCCATGTGCTGGCGCAGCAGGGCCCGGCCCGTCGCAGCCTCCAGGCAGGTGTAGGCTGAACCTGGCATGGAGGAGGAATGTTTGGAGCCCCTGACCCACACGTGGGGTAAGGAAAGCACAACGCGTGCTGCTGTGAGGGGGAGCACTGTCATTTTGCCCCATAGCTGGATGATGGGGTGTGGGTGAAGGGTGAGAGGCACAGCAGTGGGTTGGTGAGAGCACGCGCTGCCAGGAGCCGGGAGGGCAAAGGAACGGTGCGGGGGGCAGTGCTGCTGCAGGGCTCGGAAATGGACGTGGCAGCTCCATCTGCACCTCGGATGAGGCTGGCTGTGAATGGGGACCGCAGAGCCCCGCGTCCGGCCACGCACCATAGACCTCGGTGGAAATGCGCCTCTGGGCATACATGGTGAAGCCCTCGTTCAGCCAGAACTCGCCCCAGGTGGCGTTGGTGACCAGGTTGCCAAACCAGCTGTGGGAGATCTCGTGGATGATGACGTCCACCAGGGAGCGATCCCCGGCCAGCAGGCAGGGCGTGACGAAGGTGATGCAGGGGTTCTCCATCCCACCGAAGGGGAAGGAGGGCGGCATGAACAGCACGTCGTACCTGGGGAGGGGCAGCAGCTCGGGACAGACCCACCTCTTCTGCAGCCGTGGCCCGGGGCTGCAGGCACTCCCTTCCCAGCCCCAAGGAATGGGACTCGTCCTACCTGCCCCAAACATAGGGCCCAAAGAGCTTCTCGCCCACGGCCAGGAACTCCTCGATCACCCCATCGTACTCCTTCTTGGCAGCCTCGATCAGGCAGGGCTCGGCCCAGACTCGGCTCCTGCAGAGACCAGGAGAGCTCAGCCCAAGTGTGGGGTGTTGGCTGTGACACATGGCTGTGACACATGGCCTTGTGGAGCAGCACAGTGACAGCGTGATGGGGACAGCCCCTGTTGGGCAGGAGTCACACAGGGAACAGAAATCCTGCAGCTCGTGTGCTCGGCCCAGAGCAGAGAAGAGGAAGGTTTCACCACCAGGAGACTTTCACCCTATTGCTTCACCAGGCAGCGGCCGCACGTGTTTATGCTGCAACATGAAAGCCTGGCAATAAAGCTAAGGAGAGTCCAACTGCTGCAGCCTCCTTCCCAATCTGAGTGCCAAAGGGCTTTCGTGTGGTTGCTGTACCAGCAGCCAGTGGGGGGAAGGGACCCTTGGGGACGTGCGTGGGGCAGAAACAAGCAGAGACCCCCAGCAGAGTGGCAGCTCGCAGCCGTGCCTTAACATTGGGTCCCATCTGTGGGCACTCACCTCGGGCCAACCTCAGCAGACACAATGTCCCCCACAGCCAGGGCAATCAGGTACGAGGGGATGGGGTGCTCCATCTTGAAGACAAAGGTATTATCTTTCTGCTTCTCCCAGGTTGTGGCGCTCATCACGGCCGTGAAACCCTCGGGGACCTGCAAACGTCACCAAAACGCCCATCAGGTCCGTGTGGCACACAGCAGGGTTTCAGCCAACCTGGATGGGGACACTGCAGTGAGTCCCCTGAGCTGAGCCCGGGCTGCTCGCAGTCGTCCCTCCCACACTGGGGACACCTGACCAAGGCTCTCTCAGAGCACATCACAGTACCTGGGCACAGCAGGGCACTGGGTGGGCAGGAGATGCCAACCCTGCAGAACCACCGCTCCTCCCCGTCCTTACACAACCATCCTCCAGGTTCACTGTCAAACCCAGGGAAGCCCCACCCCCCCCGGCACCGATCCGTGGGGTTTCACCTTTTGGGAGCTCTGCTCCAGCTTTGAGGGCGCCCTGTGAGCATGGCAGCCTTCTGCTCCTCCTCCCCAGCACTTTCAGAGCAGAGCTGCCGAGAGCTGCCCCCTACAAAAGCTCCGGGAAGGTTCTGGGGTTTGCACCCCGCGTCCCTCCTGCGGTGCCGCTTACCTGCACTGTGGCTGAATATGTGCATTTAACTGCTGGAGTGTCAAAGCCAGGGAAAAAGGATCTATTCAGGACGGCCTGGCCTTGAGTGTACATATAGGGCTTCTGCTTCCCCGCGGTCTGCTCGGGGCTGAGCCAGCACACCTGGCAAGAGACAAGAGAGCGCAGTGAGCGGCGTTACCTGGAGCTGTGCCGTGTAGGTGCTCTTCATGGCAGGGGTGTGGAAGCCGGGGAAGAAGGATCTGTTGAGCACAGGGAAGCCAGAGGTATAGAGGAAAGGTTTCTCCTTCTGGGCCGTTTGGGAGGAGTCCAGCCAGGACACCTGCGGCACAGGCGGAACAACAGGCGGTGAGGTGAGGGTTCCATTGCTGTCCCGCAGCTCGGTCCCCTCTGCCAGAGGGATGTGGAGCTGCGAGCAGCCCGGGGTGAGCCCAGCCCAGGCACGGCGCCTCCGACAGCGGGCTGCGCGGACTTTGGATGGCGTGTGACCCAGGTGAAAGATGGCGCGGGGTCCCCGCCGCCCCACGTCCTCCTGGCGTCCACAAGTCCCCACTTCCAGGCGTCCTCACGTCCCGGCGTCCCCACCTCCCCACGTCCCCGGCTCCACGTATCCCGGTGTCCCCGCGTCCCGCCGCCCCCCGCCGCTCACCCCGGGCCCCTCTCCCGTCTCGTAGTCGATGCGCACGACCAGCAGCTCCCCGGGCCGCGGCTCTTCGGGCAGCGCGAGGTGCAGCGCGGTGCCATAGCTGGCGAACGGGCGGCTCTCGAAGCGCAGCTCCCGCCCTTCCCCTTCCCCTTCCCCTTCCCCGGCCCCGCCGGGCGGCAGCAGCCGCGCTCCGAGCACGGACAGCGCGGGGTGCGCGTCCAACACCAGCTCCCCGCTCCCGGCGCGCACGCAGCGCAGCTCCAACCGCGCGGCCCCGCGCAGCCGCCCCGCACCCGCGGCCGCGAAGCCCACGCGCAGCGATAAGTGCAGATGCCGCAACGCGAACGGCGCCGCGCCGCCACCCGTGGCCGTGGCCGCGTCCCGGGCCGCCCCCAGCGCCGCCATTGCCGGTCGGAGCCGCCCGCGGGGACCGCCCGGGGGGGGCGGGGCGGGGGCGGGGATTGCGGGTGTCCGCGGGGCGGGGCGCGCCGGGGGTCCCGTGGGATTTTCCCCCCCCCCCCCCCTTTTCTCGCTCCACGCGCGTTCGCGGCACTTCGGCGCTGCGGGGGGCGGGCAGGAGGGGTGCGGGGGGGGGGCCGGGCCGCTGCGGGACTCCGCCCCGCTCGCCGGAGCCCGGCGCCCGCTTCAATTCGCCGCTGCCATTGTGGAAGCGGCGGTGCCGGGATGCGGCCGCGGTGCTGAGCGGAGCGGAGCGGAGGTGAGCGGGGCGGGGGGGGCGGAACATCCCTCTGGGAACTCGGGGCTGCCTCCCCGTGTGTCACCACGCGCGTCCCGCAGCGTGGACAGCGCGACCGGGACGGTGCTGCAGGAAAGGTGGCAGGGATGGGGCAGCGCGGTGCCCCCCGGCCCCATCTCGGGGATCTCCTGCCCGTGGGCTGCGGGAAGCGATGGGGAAACTGAGGCCCGGGGCTGCCCGCGGTGGGACGCCGTAGCGGGGTGAGCAGCTCGGGGTTCTCACGCCCGACCCGCACTCGGGAAGGTGCCCCGCAGAGCTTCGTGGTGACGGACAGCGCGGTGACGGCCGCTGCTCCCGGCCGCGTCCCGCTGGGCTGGGGACGGTGGGGGGCGCGGTGGGGACCTCATGGTGGTGCCGGGTCGGGCCCAGCCGTCCCCATTCGCGCTGCGGTCGGTGGCTCCGGGATCCCCGCGGGGCTCTGCGCGGACCGCTCGGCACCGGGGAGCCCGGGGGAGTTTTGGGGGGGACCCGTGTGTGCGGCTTCACGCCTCCGGAACGCGCTCCCGTGCCGGGCTGCGCAGCGCAGAGCCCAGGCGGGCGTGCAGCGGTGCCGCCGATCTCCTGGGTCTCACCTCGGAAAAATCCAGGCGGGAGGGAAGCCAGCAGCCCGCGCCAGGCTGGGTGTGCCGCTGCGGCTGCGGGGGGGCTCCGCTGGGCAGCGGCGTGGGACGTGGGCACACATTGCCAGCAGCGGGGCGGGATTCCGCCTGCTGTCCCCATTGTTTGTCCCGGTTCCCGGCGACTGGGATGTCCCGGGAGAGACGCAGCTCCGGGCTCACCGCCCTCCTTGTCCCTGCCTCAGTTTACCTCTGTGCTTTGTGGGCATCGCTCCCCATCCGACATGGCCCTGTCGTGCTTGGGAGGCGTAGGGCGGCTCCGGGCTGCCCCCGGCACTGTGCGGGCTGCTGCGGGGATGGGGGCAGGCTGGGGGTTGGGGATGGGTGACTTTTGTTGGGGCCGCACCCCAAAAGCAATTTGGGATTGGGGAATGAAGTCCCAGAATCTGGGCCTCCTCCTGTGCTGGGGGGCTCCCAGGTGAGTCCTGGGGCTTGGGGAGGGGGCAGAGGTTGGAGTGGGGATGGAAGTGAGGATGGGGATGGGGGTCTGGCAGGTTATTAATAGCCATGGGGAGGCTTTTCCTGCCGAGAGCCCCACGCTGCAGCCCAGGGACAGGAAAAAGGTGTTTCCGGCCCTGGGCTGGAGCGGGGCTGGGCCCTGCAGGGGACAAGCGGGACCGGGGCCAGGTGCCCTCCCGGCTCCCACCCAGCACAGTGGGAAGCCCCGACACCGGGCGGAGCTGTGGTCCCGCCCGGAGCTGGCAGAGGCTGCCAGAATGGTGGCACATCTGTCCCGTGGGACCCAAGAGTCGGTGCTGGGACACTGGGCTGGCCGTTGTCCCTTGGTCCTTGCCACAGCCCGAGAGTCTTTGTATGTTCCCAGGTGGGACGTGAGCCTGTCCCAGCCTCTCCGACTGCTCTCTGGGGCTGAGGGAGGGCCCCAAGCCCTACTCATTAACAGGTGGCCTCTAATGAGCTTTATGTGCCTGAGCAAAGGCTTTGGGGGCCGCAGCACGAGCTCAGGGTGGTGCCACGGCCGTGTGGGCACAGCCGGATTGAAGCCTGGGTTTGGGGCTGCTCGGAGGAGAAGGGCTATGCAGGACGGCGTTCCGGCTTCCTGCCTTCCCCAGCCCCGGCTGCCTTTCCCCCATTCCCACGGCAGTTTTCCCCCGCACCGCCACCGCAGCCACATCCTGGCCGCATCCTGACCCTGCGCTGTGGCTGCGGCCCCGCGAGCATTGCAGGGTTGGCTTTCGGGCTCGTGGTGTCCCGGGGCGCCGCCGCCCTTACGGGGCTGCGATCATCTCCGTCCTCATCCCCGGCTCCTGCGGACATTGGAGGTTCGGTGCGGATGCGGCCGTTCCGCGTCACCTCCGGCAGCAAAACGGGGCAGCGGGCGGCGGAAGCTCCCCCGGCTCGGCGCTGTGCGATGATTCCCGGCTTCTCCTCCCCCCCCCCCCATCTTCACCCTCCGCTTTTCCTCGCTTTTCTTTCCCCGCTCCCTATCTGGATCCTTTCCAGAGGAAATGTCTGTGTCACAGGGAGGGGAAAGGGGGGAAAGCTGGAGAACTGCCCTCCTCCGTGGCGGTGCTCGGGGGATGCCCAGGGGATGCTCAGACTCTCCTCCAGGAAAGCTGAAACTCCTCCTGGTGCGATGGAACCGCGATTGCTCTATCAGCTGCATTCCTTCGAGCATGAAGGATTAATTTTGGGTGTGAGGGAGAAGGGATGGGCAGCGCGGGTTGGGGGAGCTTTTTCCATTACAGCCACGAGCAGAGCACTGCCCTGTGGGGATGCTAATGGAGCCCAGAGATTCTGCTCCCACCCGGCTGCGTTGCAGCGATCAGTCTGAAGCCGGGCCGGCAGTCTGGCTGCTTGCACTGCAAACAGCAAACGCTGCAAACTCCTCATTAATACCGGCATAACGAGGTGTTTGCGTGGCACTCGCAGGCACTGCAGCTTTGCAGCTCGCTGGAAAATCCACTCATCCCATTAAGGACTCCTCAGGGCTTTTGCTTTCTGCTGCAGACGCCCAATGCGGGGAACCCAGAACCGGGGATGAGGGATTCGGAGGTGGCCCCTGCAACCACGGCACACGTGGGGTCTCGGGCAGTTTTTTGCTACAAGAGCTGCGCGTTCATGGTGTGGTGGGAGATCCTGAGCTGTGCGCCCGGCTACCGCTGCTGCTTTGAGGCACGTTATGCTGAACCCTCTGCTGTTTCCCCAGCGTTACCCTGCAGCACTTCCCAAATCCTCAGCACGCTCTGAAGGGGAAAAAAAACACCTTTTGTTGGCCCGTCCCACGGAGCCGAGGGCCGCGCAGCGCCGGGACGAGCGATCGCAGCTGTCCCAACGCACGCGTCCAACACGTCGCATCCGCCCGCTTAATGCGCTCCGCACAGCTGCGTCCTCCCGCGCCGCTCCGCACGGACAGCGCCGGGAACCTCCCGGTTTTGGGGCCGAGGGCGGAGGGGCCGCTTCCGTCCGGCCGCGTTGTGCCGGGGCGGTGAGCGCAGAGCGGGAGCCGCGCCATCCTCTCGAGCTCAGGAGGCGCTCCGAGCTTCCCGGGCCGGGTGCGGCTCCTCCAGGTGTCCCCCGTCCCATCCGCAGCTGTTGGCTTTCGGCCGCTCCCGGCTGCGCTCCGTCCGGTCGGTCCCCACCACGGAGGAGCCCCGGGACGCGCGTGGGCGGCACCGGTACCGGGGGTCCGGCGGGGCGGGCCCGGAGCTGTCCAGCAGCGGCGGCTCCTGAACGGCCGCGGGGACGCGCGGCGCTTCTCGGGTCACAACTCACATCTCTGGCACTGAGAGCGCTGCAAACCTGACCGGGGATGGCATCGTGAGGAGCGGCCTCGTGGAGAGGCGGCCGACACGTGCCCGGTACCGGGCTGACCTGCAGGGCTCTCACCCAGCCCAGCCGTGGCAGAGGAGGTTCTGCCGCCGGACCCCAGGATTTGGTGCTGGAGCACGTCCAGCTGAGAGCCGAGCTTTGCTAACAGCACGGTGTTATTAAAGTGGGCTTAGTGCCTAATGGGATTGCTGTGGAGTGGCTGAAGCAGGGATTAGTGCTGTGGCTCTGCAACCATTGCTGCTCCGACACCCGGTTGTTCCGTCAGCCCACAGCCCTTCAGCCAGCAGCTCCACAGGCACTGAAGCTGCCCCCAAAAGCTTGCTGCTGGGCACCCTGCTGCTGCCCACTGGCATTGCGTTGCATGCGTGTCTGTGGCTCTGCAGGGTCCCATGTTCTGTGTGAGTTCACACCGCTCAGTGCTCATTGCTCCCATCCCAGCCGTGCTTTGAGCCCCAGACCCCACTCTGTGGCACTGAGCCCTACACCAGCACAGTGCCCAGCAGTGCAGTGTCCCACGTGGTGACACCCAGCTGGGGGCAGGCCAGGTCCCGGCTGCAGAGCGGGGGCTGGAGGCTGAATTGGTGGTTTGTTCCCCTCTGAAGGCTCCTTTCTCTCCTTGCTGCCCTCTGTTTCTCTTAGGAGAGTTTTATGTCCCTTGTGTCACAAGGAGCCTTTTCTTTGTCATCCTTCCTGAGCGTGCCGGGCAGGAGGTTGCATTGGAGCAGCGCCAGCCCCAAAGGCAGCACGGGGTCAGATCCTGCATGGAGGGGCTTTGGGGGATCCACACCCAACCTGTCTGAGCCGGGCTGCAAATGTCAGCATGGAAGGATTCTCCTCACCCTCCTGGGAGGACTCGGGGGATTTACAGTGATGGTGTGCAATCTGCACTGCCACTGCTTCCCATCAGTTGGAGCATACTGAAGGCTGCCATCGCCTGTGATCCCATGGGACATCCTGGGGACATCCGGAGCTGTGGGTTCACTCAGGGTGGGGAAACTGAGACACAGAGTGGTAGTGAAGCACCATCAGAGGTGGAAGTTTTTGCACAGTGCCTGTGCTCAGAGTCCTACTCAGGGCTGAACTGCAGTGCCCCCAAGCCCTACCGCGGGGACTCAACCGGGGCTCAGCCTCCAGGTCCGGGTGTTCCTTTCTGCTTGCTGAAACCACAGGTGTGAGGTGAGTTTTGATTCTATTCCAAGCGAGTTGCTGCAGCCCCGAGCACAACAGATGCCTCTTTGAAAGAGATGTGC